GATGGGTTCGAAAACGAATATGCCGGATCTGAACACGCAATGCTCGCATGATGAGTTTGAAAAACATGTTTATGTTTGGGGGGTTTGTAGGGTTTAGGGTTTAGGGTTGTTTACGGTTTGTATTTATTAGGGTTTAGGGCTTAGGGGTTTTTAGGGGTTAGGGAGTTTTCGGGGTTTGAAGTTGAGGAGTTTTAGGGTTTTTTTGGGTTTAGGGCTCAGGGGTTCTTTGGGTGTAGGGCTTATAGCGTTTAGGGGTTTTTAGGGTTTTTAGGGTTTAGGGTTTAGGGCCAGGTTTGTAGGGTTTTAGAGTTCAGGGGGGTTGTTGAGGGTTGTGGGTTCAGGGTTTTTTAAGGGTTTAGGGCTTAGGGAGTTTCAGGGTTTAGGGTTTTTCTGGGTTTAGGGCTGGGTTTAGGGTTTAGGTTTTTTTAAGGATTAGGGTTCTTTTTGGGTTTAGGGATTAGGGTTTGCTTGCAAACGCAACACTCGCATGATGGGTTCGAAAAAGAATTCGCCGGATCTGCAGACGCAATGCTCGCGTGATGAGTTTGAAAAAAACATGCTTATGTTTGGGGGTTTGTGGGGTTTAGGGTTTAGGGTTTTTTACGGTTTGGATTTACTAGGGTTTAGGGCTTAGGGGTTTTTAGGGGTTAGGGAGTTTCCGGGGTTTGAAGTTGAGGAGTTTGTAGGGTTTGGGTTTTTTGGGTTTAGGGTTCAGGGGTTCTTAGGGTGTAGGGCTTATAGTGTTTAGGGGTTTTTAGAGTTTAGGGTTTAGGGTTTAGGGCCAGGTTTTTAGGGTTTAGAGTTCAGGGGGGTTTTGAGGGTTTTGGGTTTAGGGTTTTTTAAGGGTTTAGGGCTTAGGGGTTTTTAGGGTTTAGGGTTTGTCTGGGTTTAGGGCTGGGTTTAGGGTTTAGGTCTTTTTTAAGGATTAGAGTTTCTTTTGGGTTCAGGGATTAGGGTTTGTTTGCAAACGCAACACTCGCATGATGGGTTCGAAAAAGAATAAGCCGGATCTGCAGACGCAATGCTCGCATGATGAGCTTGAAAAAAACATGCTTATGTTTGGGGGTTTGTAGGGTTCAGGGCTTAGGGTTTTTGTACGGTTTGGATTTACTAGGGTCTAAGGCTTAGGGGTTTTTAGGGGTTAGGGAGTTTCCGGGGTTTGAAGTTGAGGAGTTTTTAGGGTTTGGGTTTTATGGGTTTAGGGTTCAGGGGTTCTTAGGGTGTAGGGCTTATAGCGCATAGGGGTTTTTAGGGTTTAGGGTTTAGGGTTTAGGGCCAGGTTTTTAGGGTTTAGAGTTCAGGGGGGTTTTGAGGGTTTTGGGTTCAGGGTTTTTTAAGGGTTTAGGGCTTAGGGGGTTTCAGGGTTTAGGGTTTTTCTGGGTTTAGGGCTGGGTTTAGGGTTTAGGTTTTTTTCAGGATTAGGGTTTCTTTTGGGTTTAGGGATTAGGGTTTGCTTGCAAACGCAACACTCGCATGATGGGTTCGAAAAGAATAAGCCGGATCTGCAGATTCAGTGCTCGCATGATGAGTTTGAAAAAAACATGCTTATGTTTGGGGGTTTGTAGGGTTTAGGGTTTAGGGTTTTTGGTTTTTTACGGTTTGTATTTATTAGGGCTTAGGGCTAAGGGTTTTTTAGGGGTTAGGGAGTAAGTTGAGGAGTTTTTAGGGTTTGGGTTTTTTGGGTTTAGGGTTCAGGGGTTCTTAGGGTGTAGGGCTTATAGTGTTTAGGGGTTTTTAGGGTTTAGGGTTTAGGGTTTAGGGCCAGGTTTTTAGGGTTTTAGAGTTCAGGGGGGTTTTTGAGGGTTGTGGGTTCAGGGTTTTCTACGGGTTTAGGGCTTAGGGGGTTTCAGGGTTTAGGGTTTTTCTGGGTTTAGGGCTGGGTTTAGGGTTTAGTTTTGTTTCAGGATTAGGGTTTCTTTTGGGTTTAGGGATTAGGGTTTGCTTGCAAACGCAACACTCGCATGATGGGTTCGAAAATGAATACGCCGGATCTGCAGACGCAATGCTCGCATGATGAGTTTGAAAAAAGCATGTTTATGTTTGGGGGTTTGTAGGGTTTAGGGCTTAGGGTTTTTTACGGTTTGGATTTAGTAGGGTTTAGGGCTTAGGGGTTTTTAGGGGTTAGGGAGTTTCCGGGGTTTGAAGTTGAGGAGTTTTTAGGGTTTGGGTTTATTTGGGTTTAGGGTTCAGGGGTTCTTAGGGTGTAGGGCTTATAGTGTTTAGGGGTTTTTAGGGTTTAGGGTTTAGGGTTAGGGCCAGGTTCTTAGGGTTTTAGAGTTCAGGGGGGTTTTGAGGGTTTTGGGTTCAGGGTTTTTCAAGGGTTTAGGGCTTAGGGGGTTTTAGGGTTTAGGGTTTTTCTGGGTTTAGGGCTGGGTTTAGGGTTTAGTTTTTTTTAAGGGATTAGGGTTTCTTTTGGGTTTAGGGATTAGGGTTTGTTTGCAAACGCAACACTTGCATGATGGGTTCGAAAACGAATATGCCGGATCTGAACACGCAATGCTCGCATGATGAGTTTGAAAAACATGTTTATGTTTGGGGGGTTTGTAGGGTTTAGGGTTCAGGGTTGTTTACGGTTTGTATTTATTAGGTTTTGGGGCTTAGGGGTTTTTAGGGGTTAGGGTTTTTGGGGTTTGAAGTTGAGGAGTTTTTAGGGTTTAGGGTTTTTTTGGGTGTTGGGCTCAAGGGTTCTTAGGGTGTAGGGCTTATTTTGCGTTTAGGGGTTTTTAGGGTTTAGGGTTTAGGATTTGGGGTTTGGGGTTTGGGGCTAGGCTTTAGGGTTTAGAGTTCAGGGGTTTTCGAAGGTTTAGGGTTGAAGGTTTTTTAAGGGTTTAGGGCGTAGGGGTTTGTAGGGTTTAGGGTTCTCTTAAGGGTTTAAGGGCTTTTAGGGTTTGGGGTTTAGGGCCAGGTTTTTTAAGGTTTAGAGTTCAGGGGCCCGGATGTCTTTTGGGCCCGGAGAGCCCAGATTGCTAAGATCGTTGGGCCCGGAGGGCCTGCGTGGCTTGGAACATGTGGGCCCGGAGGGCCCGGATTGTCCTTCGTGGCTTAGAACATTTGGGCCGGGAGGGCCCGGATGGCTTAAAACATTTGGTGCCAGGAGGGCCCGGATGGCTTAGAACATTTGAATTTACATATGATAGAGAGGGTTTAGGGTTTAGGGTGCAGGGTTTAGGGCTTCCTACTATTTCTTGTCATGCGTGGAGGTACGTGTTTCTTTACCGTTTATTGGACAACCAGTGCAACAACCAGTGCATCATCATCATCATCATCATCATCATCATCATCATCATCGTCATCGTCATCGTCATCGTCATCGTCATCGTCGTCGTCGTCATCATCATCATCATCATCATCATCATCATCTTTGGCTCTTGCGTGTGTTCGCACAGCGCATCCGCCCCTCCGCTTGATCCCGCGTCCGCTCGGTCCGTGCATCCGCTCCGTTTACTCCGCCGCTTCGTTTATACCATTGTCGAACTATGCCGATGTTATCGTTCGATATCGTTCGCGTGCGAAAGCCAAAAACATGACATGTGCTGTTTTCCGGCCCCGCAATTTTACAAACCAGAAAAATCATAACCCCACGAAGAATATTTCACCGAACAAAATTCGCTGCCATCCTACAGGGTTTTAAAGGGGAGAGATGCATGCGGAGAAGGGTTGCGGTTTTAACAGTATGTTCATGCCTATCATTAAGATTAGTATTACGACTATTCTTTGTGTATTACGATTTTTTTTCTACAACTACGACTATTCTTACTACTAGTATTACAACTATATATTTACTACGAATATTTCTACTATTATTACTACTTTTAATATTACGTAAGATGTGGTCGTACTCAGGCACTGATGCGACCTATTTTGACAGTCCATGGAGGTTGGTGCAAGGTGAAGTCAGCCGCTTGCCAAGGCATATGGTGGGGCCTACAGTTAGCTGCTGATACTGGTAGGTGCCATGTTTATAGCTTCGAAGTCGAGGCATGGAAAGATGCCAAAGAGGCGCTGCGCACGTGTCTTGATCTAAGAAGTCGGGTCCAGCTAGAATTCAAACCGTAGTTTCGGGTTCAGCAAACAACCAACACCTTAAGAAAACCTTAGTATACGGTTATAGAACCAAAGCGCCACTCTACATAGGACTAAGATGCGGGCAAGGGAACTTTAAAGTCCAAATTTAGAAAGTGTTTGAAACGATCTTCGCGCGAAATTTGCAGTCAGTGATCGCCCATTGCCGCGTTGCCGCTTCGGGGCACTGGCCCTTCCGGAGACGTTTGGAGCCTCTGGTCGTGTCCGTTTCACGTAACACCAGAGACATCATGAAAGCCCAAACGGAGATCCCAAATGTCGCAGCAGGAGGGACGAGCAGCGGGGAAACGATCGTTCGGGGGCGGGGGGCTCCCAGCCTGCGTTTCTCGATTCATGTCGAGCACCAAATTTTAGTGTTGCATTTTTTGCGTCTTGACGTTTTTGGGTTGTCTTGCGAAAGCCAGGTGCGATTTGCGGGCAAGGGTGTTGGTATGTAAATCAAAGAGCGACGTCCCGCAGCCGATTGACAAGTTTGTCGCGCAAAAGCATGTGATCATTGAATCATCATGGTCCAGTTGTGTGACTTGATAAAGCCTGATATGTCCTTCACGAGGAAACTAGCGAACATCGCTTACAATATCGCAACGCAAACCGAGTCTTGGCCGGGACGGGGCCCGGCAATCATGGCACTGCACTCGCCTCAGGGGCTTGCTTTTGTGCTTGCATGAGCTTCATGAATGCTGACGATTGTTGGGATCTTGCGAGTGGCCCATCTGAGTTTTTCTCGGCCAAGGCCTTCGATTGTGACAGTGCAAACGGCACTGGACAAGCTTTGCAAGCAGACCGCAGGCACAGACCCGACTTGTTTCGGCTGCCGCGTTTTCGTATTACGGGAAATGTGCTGAATCTGCTGAGTACTGCTTTGTGATGCTCGAGTACTGCTAGATGCTGCTAGAGTCAAAGCGGCATTGGGAGGCATGCAAAGAATTGTCGTCACCGACAAAGATGGTGTCGAAGTTCTCAAGACTGCCAGGGCAGTGAGGGGATAGACGGGGGGTGCACCGCTAATTGTCGATTTGTAGTTATACTTTTGGAAGTTGTAGTCACTGCAGCCGCGGCTTCGTCCCAAAGATTTTTCATTGCCCATGGCCCAATGACCCAATTTCAGGGCAGGAGAAAATGCCGACCATGATCCTGCAGCTACGTGTCCTGGCAGAGATGCTAGGAGTTTTCTCGTACAAGAGCCACATTGTTTTTTCTTCGAGCCCGCTGCATTCTGACACAGATGTGACCAAGATCGATTCTCACCACCATCTTCTCGCAGACTGCCCAGCAGAGTGAGAAAGTAGAAGGCTTGGGCAAGGTCACCACCTCAGAGTCTGGTCAATCTTTGCCCAGACACTGCAGGCCTAGCCGGCCACAGAATGAATCGATGGAACTTGCTACCAAGACTCAAATTGTCCTTGCTACCAAGACTCAAAGCGTCCTACTCAGCTACGACCGGTGCTACGTGCTTCAGGCCAGGTCTACCACAAGTTGTCCTGAGGCAAGTTCAAAGCACGTTTTAACAAACTCAATGGAAGCAGTAGGGGCAGTTTTATGCGACGGTGCATCGGTTGATGTCAATCACTTCCGCTGCTTCTTGTCATCCATGGTCAGATTGGCATGGAGATGCTGGTCATCAGCATTCTTGCTGGCAAAGACGCTGCGGCCCTATCCTTCGTCAAACCGACACTCATGGCCTTTGGTCATAGGACTTTCTAGAGTTTCGACCTGACCGGATTGCGAAAGCACCTGAGCTTACTATCTCAGGCAAAGATTGGAACTATCATGGCCCTTGTGCCGTCCTTGAAGGACATGAGCTTGCTCGGCTTGCAGAATTGAACCCCAGAATCCGCACAACCGTTCGCAGCGAAAGGGGCAGTGCTTGACTCATGCAGTGAAGTTCTCTTTAAGAATCGCGCTGTTTACCTGCCGCGTTAGAGCAAGTTGGCAAGAGAAGACGGCTCAGTGGGAGCATGGCCAGATTCTGGTTTTCGTGCGCATTCGCAGCAATGTTTGGTGTTCTTCCTGCTGCTGCAGCGACACTTGCGCTGCTGGTGGCGACGAACGTGGCGCAAAATGGCAACTCGTCCCGCGCCCCTCCGGCAGTTCGGACCCTCGATGATGTTTTTCAGCTGGGAAGAAAGGCAGACTTTGTAGCTGCCTGGCGTGCTGGTTCGGTACCAGCAAATTACCAAGGGAAAGACTTTGACGGCTATCTGTTATCCTTGGGAATTCTAGCTCCAATGACGGCGTTCATAACCAACAATCTCTTTGGCCCGTTTGCCATTTGGCGTGGCAAGTCATTTGCCAAGAGCGGCGCAGCCGGTAGAAACCGCTTTGGGGGCGGCTCCAAGAAACGCGGCTTCGCTGCCAGGGTGGCCGCTTCTCAGCTGGACCATCAGCCTGCCTTAGTCCTGGACTACAGCGACCCAGAGCTTCTGGGCTCCAGTTCAACAGCCCTCTTTTTGCAGCGTGTTGTCGTATCAGTCGCATCTATGATGTGCTATGTTTGTGCGTGCTACTGTGAGCCCGTTTTGGCCGAAGGCATGGAGATGTGCTTTGGGGACAGATCCTCTTCATGCGAGATGAGCTCCGTGAAGTTGCACCCGGAGTTCTGCTTGGTTTGGGTTCCATGGGTGCTACAGGGGGGATGCCGAATTGCGCCCCCTTTGTGTTGGTGCCATCTGCGGAGGCATCTGAGCCTTAGTTGGCGAAGGCCACTCGAGGAAGTGGTTTGTTTCACTGCCGGCACTCTCAGTTCAGGGCGGATGCAGGCATGCACATTCTTCGTCAATGCATCTTGGTCAGTTTGCTCTTTCGTCTACAACATGTAATGTTTCGTCAGGAGCTGCTCGCGCCTACGCAGCTGACAGTGAAGCGTGAGACAGAGCTGACCGACAAAGCGGTGTAGTGTCGTTGCGGAGCATCACGGTCATTGGCCATGAGGCTGCAAAGAATCTAGGCTAAGCAGCATCTCGGCAGCTCTATGTTTTTAGGTTGCAACTTGACGAAGCAGTGCGTACAGTACACCTGAAGAGCATGCCGCTATCAATTCAAGTTGCCTTGTGTCAGTGGCGAGAGGCGAGAGTGAGGCCAAAATCGTGCACCGCTGTGCTGCTTGTGCTGCAATGTTGCTTCTATCAGGACAGACGAGAATTGGCAGCTCCTCCTTTCATTTCTGCAGTGATAGGACTTTGAAGAAGTGTGCCCGACTTTGCTTCAGCCTGGGCATTTACCTGCTGTGAACTTTCCGATTAGACACATAGATGCCTTGGAGCGCAACACTGAAAATCACAAGACAGAGAAGACGGTTAGGCCGTGACTGACTCCATGTAGGGGCGAAACAGCCTAGGGTGGGAGTGGGTGGTAAAAAATCATCTTTTGCAGCATGCTGGTTTCTCCAGGTTGAAGCAAGCTCGGCCTTGAATCTGCTGCCATCTGAAGTATGCTGGTGCTAGGAAAGTGCCCAATTGAATCGGCAGTAGGTGAACTCACCTCAGGTGCTGAACACTTGCAGGTCATGCAACCGATGCCACACCTAAGACTGCAGTACTGACCTACATCACCGTGAAGTGCCACGCGAGATCAGGCACAGACAGATGAAGCAGCGAGAACATACCAAACAACCAAACACAAAAGCAGCAACCGTCGCCTGACCAACTATGCCGTCCGTCTTCAGGCGGGTTGCTGTGTTCTGTGCAGGTTGCAGCAAGGGCGTTAAGACGATATAGAACTCATCTGAAGTCCCACGTCCCAAACCTGGAGAGATGAGGTCGTGACAGTTGTGACAGTAGAACGTGCGGATCTTGGCTTGACCCTTCGGTCACTCTGAATCTCCCGAAGTCACTGTGCCTGCTCGACGCGGCTTTGGTGCTTGTGCTTCCTGTGTCTTGTCTGGTTGCAACATTGCTCTTTGATGGTTAGATTGCCTTTGGGACAAGTTTTTGAAGCCTGGTTCAGCACAAGTGTCATACACCGACGCTGCTGCACCCGAGGCGATGCAGAGAGTTCAAGTTCTACATCCTTCACAGGCGAGGTTGACCGTGCTGGGTTGAAGAAGAGGAAGTTCAAGAAGAAGAGGAAGTTGAAGAAGAAGAAGAAGAAGAAGAAGAATAAGAAGAAGCAACAAGTGATATGGCTAGGGAGATGCTTTGCGTGAGCGAGCTCGATGCCACATGGGCAGGTTCCTCCGCTTCACAATGCTAGGCCCGATGTTTGCAGAATCCGCTACGATCTTTTGATGTATTTGGTCCGTTGTTGGCTTCTCTTGTGCTCTCCATCTCAGCTGGTCTGAGCTTGCTTAGAACCATGAGCTGGCCAGAAAAGGCAGATGAATAGTTCTGCATACTGGCCACCTGTGCAAACGATAGGGGCGCCTTTCTCAGCATCTGTCGAAGTGGGTAATCAGTGGGGGCATGGAAGCATGAGGTTCGTACAGAGCCTTCATGAGCTCTTCCCATGCCCCAATCCTGTGTCTTCACTGCCAATGCCCAGGCCAAGAAGACTCCTCGATCTCGATCTCCGCCGGAGGATGCCGACGCCTCGGCTACTTTTTTGGAACTCAGATCTGCAGCGGTTTCTCCATCCATCTTTGGGGTTGATTTGGCGTATCGGGTGGTGCCCTGCCCATGCAGTTCTCACCCTTCCGTGGCCTAGAAGTTTCTTGCGCTCAAGCTGTTTCAAAGCCGCTAGAAGTGAGAATCTTCGGCCAAGCCATGGTGGTAGCCCTGCATTGGGGCCCAGATTCGGCTCGCCACGAGCTGTGCGAGTCCATCGAACTGGCCATGCTCCAGCTTCTGTGCCGTCTGTCTTCGTCGAACGGAAGCGAAGGCACAGCCGAAGGCGGAACCGCATCGGTGTTGCTTGCCCGGAACTCCGAGCGTGGGCGACGCTTAGCAGCTCAGCTCGAGGGGCTGCTTGGTTTCGGGGATTCTGTGGCAATGCGGCCACGCAGCTCCCATCAATCGCTGCGTGTGCTTCGGCAGATGGCGCTGCTGGATTCGATCCACGGGCTGCTCAGCTCAGGCCGTCATGCGACCTGCCGGGAGCTCTACTATCGAGCCTAGTCCTGAACTTGTTTGTATTCTGCTGTATTGCTTTCTGCTGTGTGTGCTTGGGCTCGGGATACATGTAGTCAGCCTGCACCCCTGCTAGCTTCCAAGGACACGTGTCTTTGTTCTCGAGGCAGCAGCTTAGCGATGAGATGTTGAAGAGACTTTGTCAGACGTTGGAAGTGCCGCGACACTACCTGCGCCTGGTGGGCACAGCCAAAGGCCTTGTACGAGGGCACTTGCGCATCCTCGAACCACGAACTGGTGGCAAGTCGGGGGAGTCCGTGTGGGTGGATGGTATGGACCCACTGGAGCCGCGAGGTCACTCGATCTCCCCCATTTGTGCACATGTCCTGAGAGTGGAGACGATGGCGCAGTGCATCTTTGTGGTTGAGAAGGAAACCATCTTCCACCGACTGCTGGACGAAGGGTTTCTTGAGAAACAGAAGCCGTGCATTCTGGTGACCGCCCGCGGCTTTCCTGATGTTCCAACTCGGTATTTCCTCCGCCACCTGAAGGAAGCCTGTGCCAACCCCAAGTTCTATGTCGTGGTAGACTTTGACCCCTCAGGTTTGTTGATTGCCGCGACTTATGCTTTCGGTCCACAGAAAGCATGGCTTCAGGACGACCTGACACTGCCTGAAGCTGTGCCATTGCTTTGTACAGGCGGTGTGCAAGGTGCTGCGCGCTTCGGCTTGCGACGAAGCGATGTCCTGCGGCTTACCGCGTCCGACACTGCAAAGATGACAGGATTGCGGAAGCGGCTACGACAGGTAGGCATGGATGATGATGTGCTGCATCCATACCTACAAGGTATTATCGAGCTGTCCAAAGGTGGGGTGAAGTACGAGATTGATGCCTTGGACAAATTGACTGAATTCATTATGTCTGCAGCCCGGCAACCATGTGACCAGGCCAAGACGGACTCGCCGACTTTGTCGTGTTGAGGTAGTGGGATGCTGAAGAAGGGTCGTTGCCTGCTCTGGAAAAATGCCGTCACCGATCATGTTTTTTTTTGTGCAAGATGAGATTTCAAAGCCCACATCAGTCTCCTGAGCCCGTGCAAGCCCAGAAGCACTTCCAGAGGTGAAGCTCTCGGATTTCGAGATGATGGATGGCCAAGGAGGAATCATCGGTGGTGAAGGGTACTTGCAGGGTATTTGCTCACAGGAGCGATGCCAATTTTCCACATGTCGGACCTCTCACATTGCGTGCCACACAACTTGTGTTGCACCTTACTATGAGACACATGATGAGAACCGCGAGGAATATTGATACTGACAGAAGATTTCAAAATCGCAACAGTATTGCAAACAATCTTAGAATGTCTCGGTTTCGCCGCTGTCGACCTCCGCACCCGGAGGCCGCTCTCTGGGCAAGGGATCCTTCGGTGTCGTGCGGCGCATCCGACGCAAGGCCAACCTTTCGTGGCAGTTTCGGGTTCTCGGTCTTGGGGTGGGAAGTACGGGGACGGTAGGATGCTGTAGGGCCGGTTGTTTACGCTTTTACTAGACTGTTGCTATTGCATGACTTGACGAATATGTCGGCAGGGCAAAATTATGCAGGGACAATCTGCTTGTTCCTTTACTCTGAACTTTTGTGAGTATCTCGCTCGCAGGGAACCGATGATGTCTATGCCCTCAAGACAATGCAGAAGGCAGAGGCTGGGCCATGACAACACCTTTACAATACTTCTGTGTCGAGCTTCGCAGACATGTTCTTGAGCTTGAAATCTGCAGGTGGTGAACGGGCAGCTCGTGGAGCAGGTGCGCAGGGGACGTGAAGGGCATGTGCAGGGCATCTGCGGGGCATGTGCGTGGCATGTGGGGGGCATACGGGGGATGTGGTGTGGGGGCATTCATGCTTGTGGCGCTCTGCTCAGGTGGAGAGGGAGATCCAAGTCCAGCGCACCCTGAAACACGAAAACGTGCTTCGACTCTACAGGCACTTCGAGGCGAGGGGAGAAGACTCTGTTGTAAGGGGTTCAGCTTTAATGTTGAGTAACTGTCTTGTGTTGTCATCGAGAAGCCTGGCTACGAGGTATACGTAGTTGGAGCATGGTGTGTGTTCCGCCGTGTGTTGGCAGGCACTTTCGGCTTGTTGGGGGATGGGGTGGGGGTTGGGCATGCGGTGTTCAATTGGAATGCTTTGCTGTGTATTCCGCTGTGTGTCAGAAGGGTGAGGATGGAGGGGGTGGGTGGGGTTGGTTCCGTTCACTTCGAATGCTTCGGTGTGTATTCCACCGTGTGTTAGGGCGTCAGTTCGCCATGTTTGTGAACAAACTCGGGACAAGCTTTGTAGTCAAGCTATCACTTGCTAGGGTCCGAAGATGACTTATAGACAACCCTGTAAGTTAGAGTATTTCCGACATATCATGCCTCCACATGGGCCATTTTGTCCACATTGCTTTGAGGTTTAGGGCTGCAGATTTAGGGCTTTTGGGGTTTAGGGTTTCGGCTACAGGGTTTTAGCACTTTGGGTCTCTTCAGGTGTGGGTGTTTAGGGTGTAGGGTACGTAGGGTTTAGGTTTAGATTTATAGGAGTTAGGGTGCTCAGGGTTTGGCGATAATTTGGGGGTGTTTGCGGTTTAGGGCTCTGTGAGGTTTTGGCTTTAGGATTGTAGTGTTTAGGTTCAAGGTTTAGGGCTGAGAGTTTAGGGTTTTTAGGGGTTTTAGGGTTTAGGGTTTGGGGTTATAGGGTTGTGTTTTTGAGGTTTCGGTGTTCAGAGGGTTGGGAATTTAGGGTTTAGGGTTTTGGGGGTTCAGACTTTATAGGTCTTAGGGTTTAAGGTTATGGCGTTAGGGCGTTCAGGGTTTCGGGGTAATTTGGGGTGCTAATTTGCGGGTGTCTGCGGTTTAGGGCTTCGTGAGGATTAGGGTTTAGGGTTTAGGATTTTAGAGTTTGGGTTTCGAGGTTTAGGGCTGAGGGTTCAGGGTTTTGAGGGTTCAGGGTTTAGGGATGTAGGGTATTTCAGGTTTCGGGTTTTAGGGTTTCAGGCTTCAGGTTTCAGGGTTTAAGGTTGCGGCCGTTAGGGTGTTTAGGTTTCAGGGGTCATTTGGGGGTGCACGCTATACAAGCTCCAGAGCAGGAACCCGTTTTTTTTTGGTACCCCTCCCCCCCCAAAGATCCATACTTTTTTGCTTTGTTTTATGTCTTTGTTATTTTTCCTTTTTTGTTGTACGTTTTCCTTTTGTTGTCTGTTGAGTCTATGTGTTTCCATTATTAAACCCCGTATTGAAATATTGAATTTCCATAAGGCCATAAGGGTTGGCACTATAGAAACCCTTATTGAAATATTGAATTTCAATAAGGGCGGAACTAAGAACTAAGACTGCCAGGGACTCTTGGTCTGAGTTCTTAGTTCCTAGTAATTACCGCCCTTATTGAAATTCAATATTTCAATAAGGGTTTCAATAAGAGGTAACCCAGGAACTAAGAATCCAGACCGAGAGTCCGTGACAATGTTAGTTCTTAGTTCTTAGTACCGCCCGTATTGAAATTCAATATTTCAATAAGGGTTTCAATACTTCTCCACCCTTCTTGAAATTCAATATTTCAATAAGGGCTTCAATAAGCAGTATTATTGACACCCTTATTGAAATATTGAATTTCAATAAGGGCGGAACTAAGAACTAAGAACTAAGACTGCCAGGGACTCTCGGTCTGGATTCATAGTTCCTAGTACCACCTTCATTGAAATTCAATATTTCAATAAGGGTTTCAATACTACTCCACCCTTATTGAAATTCAATGTTTCAATAAGGGCTTCAATCAGGAGTATTATTGAAACTATTGAATTTCAATAAGGGCGGAACTAAGAACTAAGAACTAAGACTGCCAGGGACTCTTGGTCTGAGTTCTTAGTTCCTAATACCGCCCTTATTGAAATTCAATATTTCAGTAAGGGTTTCAATAAGAGGTAACCCAGTAACTAAGAATCCAGCCCAAGAGTGTCTGACAATCTTAGTTCTGAGTCCTTAGTTCCACCCTTATTGACATTCAATATTTCAATAAAGAGGTAACCTTCAATCTTTCAACCAAGACAGCAGAAAGGATTGCCCCTCCCTCCCCCTCCTGTCCGCTCCGGCTGCGCTCTCTGGTTGTTTTGTAAGGGCTTGTTCAAGGCTTATCTAAGGAACCAGGGTTCGAAAGAGAAGGCCCGAAACTCTATAGGGTTTAAGGCTTTAATCCCTAAGCCTTAAACCGTATAGGGTTTAGGCTCAAAGCTTAAACCCTAATTCTTTAATCATACATAGTGTTTCAAGGTTAAGCTGTTAGACTTAAATCCTGAACCGTAACCCTTTAAACCCCATAGTGAAGGTTTAAAGGTTTCGGGTGTAAGGTCTAGGCATTTGAAACTAAGCCGGCAAGTAAACCTACACCCTTAACCTTAATGCCGTGGGGTTAACTGGGTTAAGGTTTAGAGGTTAAGGGTTTCAGATTTAAGCAGTCAAACCTAAGGCCATGGAGTTTCAAACAGAAGTGTTTAAGGCTTAGGCGGTTGAACCCGAAAACCCCGTAGGGCTGTAAAAGGTTCAAAGGTGTTAAGCCTATAGGCGCTGATGGTAAACTTGCCCAGACCTTAGGTTTTTTTTAACCATTTAGCCCTTTCGGGCTGGGCTAAAGGTTTAGTTTATCCAGCACGACCACGACGGGCATTTCTATATATGTCGTAATCAGGATAGGCGCCTGGCCCCCTACCCCCAGGCGATAGACCCCTATCCCCAGGGGTCTGTCTGGTGGGGATAGGTACCTATGCATAGGCCCCTGCCTGGACTGGCTATATATAGGAGGGCATAGCCCGGACATAGACCCCTATCCGCGGCATAGACCCCTATCCCTCTCCGATAGGCACAACTGTACCCTAAACCCTGAGTCCCTACACCCGAAACCCTAAATTCTAAGCCTGAGCCCTAAACAACCCTAGTCCCTAAACCCAAAAAGAAACCCTAATCCGTATAAAACCCCAAACCCTAAATCCAGCCCTAAACCCAAAAAAACCCTAAACCCTAAAGAGCCCTTAAGAAACCCTAATCCCTAAAAACCTTAAACCCTAAATCCAGCCCTAAACCCTAAAAACCTGTCCCTAAACCCTAAACCCTAAACCCTAAACCCTAAACCCTAAACCCTAAACCCTTCACCCTAAACCCTAAACCCTAAACCCTAAACCCTGAACCCTGAACCCTGAACCCTGAACCCTGAACCCTGAACCCTAAACCCTAAACCCTACACCCTAAACCCTAAACCCTAAACCCTAAACCCTAAACCCTAAACCCTAAACAACCCTAAACCCTAAAAACCCCGAAGCCCAATACGCCCTACACCCTAAGAACCCCTGAGCCCAAAACCCACAAACCCTAAACCCTAAAAATCCCTCAACTTCAAACCCCGAAGACCCTCACCCCTACACCACTAAGCCCTAAACCTTAATGAATCCAAACCATCAAAAACCCTAAACCCTAAACCCTACAAACCCCTAAACATAGGCACTTGTTTTTTCAAACTCATCCTGCGTGCGAGCATTGTCTGTGCAAATGGGGGCCGCCAACCCCTCCCCCGCTTTATTCTTTTTCGAAGCCATCATGCGAGTGTTGTGTTTGCAAGTAAGCCCGAGTGCCTAAACCCAAAAAGAAACCCTCATCCCTAAACAACCCTAAGCCCTAAGCCCTAAGCCCTAAGCCCTAAGCCCTAAGCCCTAAGCCCTAAGCCCTAAACCCTAAACCCTAAACCCTACCCCTAATCCCTAAATCCAAAAAGAAACCTTAATCCCTAAAAGACCCATAAACCCTAATCCCTAAACCCTACACCCTACACCCTAAACCCTAAACCCTAAACCCTAAACCCTAAACCCTAAACCCGAAACCCGAAACCCGAAACCCGAAACCCGAAACCCGAAACCCAGCCCTATGCCCAGAAAATATCCCTAAACCCTAAAAACCCCTAAGCCCTAAACCCTTAAGAACCCTAAACCCTCAAAACCCCTCAGCCCTCAACCCTTAAAAAACCCTAAGCCCTAAACCCTGAAAACACCTGAGCTCTAAACCCGAAAAATCCTAAACCCTAAACCGAAAAAACCTCGGAACCCTATAAGCCCTACACCCTAAGAACCCCTAGCCGTAAACCCTAAAAAACCCTCAACTTCAAACCCCGAAAACCCTAAACCCTAAAAACCCCTAAACATAGGCATGTTTTTTCAAGCCCATCAAGCGAGCATTGTGTGTGCAAATGGGGGGGGGGGAATGCGCCCCGCCCAACCCCCCCGCTTAATTCTTTTTCGCACCCATCATGCGAGTGGTGTTTGCAAATGGGAGGGGGGGGTCAAAATCCCTAAGCCCTAAACCCCCAAAAAAACCCTAAACCCTAAAAAACTTCAAGTCCTAAAAACCCTAAACAGAGGCATGTTCTTTCAAACCCATCATGCGAGCAGTGTGTGTGCAAATGAGGGGGGGGGGGGCTGCGCCCCGCCCCCAACCCCCCCGCTTAGTTCTTTTTCGAACCCATCATACGGGGAAAAAACCCTAAAGCCTAAACCCCAAAAAACCCTAAACCCTAAGAATCTTTAAGCCCTAAGAACCCCCTAAAGCCTCAAAGAACCGAAACCCTCCCTAAACCCTAAACCCTAAAACCCCTAAAGCCTAAAAGCTTTGAGGCCTGAACAAAAAATCCTAAACCCTAAAAACCCCTAAACTCTAAACCCCCCAAAAGCCCTACAAAAACCCTAAACCCTAAACTCTCGCTCGAGCACAAGTGATACATTTGTTACCATAGGGGTTTATGGGTTTGTGGGTAGGGTCTATCCGGAGGGGGGTAGGGGCCTATGGAGAAGGGATAGGGGTCTATGCCACATAGGGGGGTGGTATAGGTAGGGATAGGGTCTATGCATAGGGGTCTATGGCAAAAGGGAGGGGGCCTATGGATAGGGTCTATCCCGAAACGGGTAGGGCCTCTGTCTAGGTTCCACCACGGACGGATAAGGCTCAGGGAATAGGACCGTATCCCAAAACCATAGGGGTCTCTATAGGGGTCTATCGACGCCTATCATAGGGGGTTACTTTATGGACCTATCTTCCAGGGTAAAAGGTCTAGGGTCTAAGATTCAGGCATTGCCTGTAGAAGTAGAACCCTACGACCATCTAGGGAAGCCCTAAACCCTAAACCCAATTCTTGTTCTTACTCATAAATAAGACATAAAAACCTGGATCTTTGGGGGGAGGGGTAGCATTTTTTTTGTTGTGGGTGCTTTTCGCACCCTCAGAAAAAAAATGCACCCCCACACCCGCAGCAAAAAAAGGAACGCGCCCCCGCACCCGCAGCAACAAAACACGCGCACCTTCCTGCGGGCGTTATTTCCGGGGCCGCCGCCGGTGAGTGAGTGACCTGCTGCGGGGCTGCGCCCTCCCTAACACCCCGCTTTTTAAGCCGGGCAAGCTTGATTCAAAGCATACGAATCCGGGGCTGCACCCCCCCAACCCCCTGCTTGTTTTAAGCCGGGCAAGCTTGCTTGAAAGCATACGAATCCCTTCCAAACCCATGATCCGAGCATTGTGTTTGCAAATGGGGGGGGGCTGCGCAGCCCCCCCGCTTGTTTAAGCCGGGCAAGCTTGCTTCAAAGCATACCAATCCCTTCCAAACCCATGATGTGAGCATTGTGTTTGCAAATCGGGGGGGCCCAACCCCCCTGAAAAAAAGAGGAATATATGACTGCTTCTGCTTCATACAAAAACTCAGAGAATATTGTGGAAGTAAAAATTTCCCATTAAAACTAGAGATATAAACGTTTTCTTAGTAAAGCATCGAGAAAATAGAGCTTGTGTTATGAGAATATAGAAAACATGACCAAAGTACTTGTTGTTTGCGAGTCACAGATAGAGATAATGCATATACTCTTATGGGAATATGGAGAATTAGCTGCTGATGTATTCCTCTCTCAAGTCTTCCTCATGAAGTATACAGAGCAAAATAGTAAACTGTCGAAAAAAGGAGGTTTTGGTTTCAAAATTGAGAGAAATTAGAGGTTTTTCTATGACAACGTAGAGGAAATATAGGTTTTCATACCAAAATGTCGCGAAAGAATAGAGGGTTTTCATATTAACATATAGAGAAACTAGAGGTCTTGAGCTTCAAATATAGAGAAAATAGAGGTTTTCCGATCAAGATAACAAGAAGAAAAGGTTGTCATATCAAATATGGACAAAATAAAGGTGTTCCGATTAAAGCATAGAGAAAAGAGAGAGGTTTTCATGTTCAAATATAGAGAAAATAGAGGACAGAGAAAATAATGGTTTTGTTATTCAAAGAGGACAAGAGGAACAAAATACGTTTAATTGCAGTTCACATAGAGAGATAACACAGAGAATTAGTTTCTCATGGATTCCTCTTTCATGCCTTCCACATTAAATATAGAGGAAACGATGACAATGTTGACACAAAAGAGAAAAAATGAGATTTTCTTTAATTTTCAATAGAGAAACAGAGGGTTTCGTATTAGCGTATAGAGAAATTAAAACAGTAGAGGTTTCATATTAAAGTGTAGAGAAAATAGAGGTTTTCATATTCAAATGCACAGAAGAAAGAGGTTTTCATATCAAAACACAGAGGAAATAGAGGTTTTCATTTTCCAATATGTAGAAAACAGCAAAAAAAGCCGCCCCCGCACCCGCAGCAAAAAAACCTGCCCCCACCGCACCCGCAGCAAAAAGCAACATGCGCCCCGGCACCCGCAGCAACAAAAAACAACGCGCCCCGCACCCGCAACAAAAAAACACCCGCAACAAGAAAAACACTCTTACCACTCCAGAGCAGTGTTGGCGGCTTGAGCAGCATCATGCGCCATCCGAATGAAGTGCAGCCGTGACACTCGGTAGCCACCGCTTAAACAGTGACGAGATGATTAGCAGAATGTTGACAGAATACAGACTTTTGCAGCTCCGTGCGCTCAGCTCCTCTGGACTTTAATCCTCAATGCAGGTGAATACTCAGGCACGCTGGGCAAAGCGCTCTGCAAGTATAACCCTCTCATCCCTAAAACCTGAACCCTAAAAGCCCCTAACCCTCAGCCCATAACCCTAACCTGGAAGCTACACCCTAAACCTCAAACCCCCAAAGCACGAACGCTCCTGGTGCTCCCGCCCGGCAGAACTCGATGTGCTTGTCAAGGGGCGCAGTCTTCCTTGCGGCCGATACTTCCTCTCTAACCTACAATTGCAGCCGCGGCAGCAGAAAATCGTGTCGAGATCATTACATCCAGGCTCTTCACGTCTGAGGCAAGCATGGAAGTTCAAGTTGCGCGCAAGAACTAGGGTTTCGGGTTTTTAGGATGTAAAGTATTTTTGAGGGTTCGGTGTTTGGAGGGTATAGGGAATAGGGTTTAGGGTTTTGGGGTTTCAGATTTTATAGGTTTTAGGGTTTAAGGTTTCTGCGTTAGGGCGCTCAGGGTTTAGGGCTTCGTGAGGTTTAGGGTTTAGGGTTTGTTTAGTTTAGGGTTTAGGGTTTAGGATTTTAAGGTTTGGGTTTCAAGGTTTAGCGCTGAGAGTTTAGGGTTTTTAGGGTTCACGGTTTAGGGATATAGGGATGTATTTGAGCGTTTCGGTGTTTAGAGGGTCGGGAATTTAGGGTTTAGGGTTGTGGGGTTTCAGACTTTATATAGTGTTTTTATGCTAATTTGGAGGTGTCTGCGGTTTATTTGGATTTAGGATTTTCAGGTTTGGGTTTCAAGGTTTGGGGCTGAGGGTTCAGGTTTTTAGGGTTTATGGTTTAGAGTTTTTGAGTATTTAGGGTTTAGGGTTTAGGGCTTAGGGCTTAGGGGAGGGTTTAGGGTTTAGGGTTTAGGGTTTAGGGTTTAGGGTTTTAGGGTTTTAGGGTTTAGGGTTTAGGGTTTTAGGGTTTAGGGTTTAGGGTTTAGGGTTTAGGGTTTAAAGGGCGAAACCCTAAATCCTATACGGTTTAGGGTTTTTGGGTTCTATAGGGTTTATGTATATCCCCTAAACCCTAACCAATACTATTCCTAAGCGCTAGCTTCGAACCTCCCAACTCCGCCTAGGGTTTAGGGTTTAGGGTTAGGGTTTAGGGTTTAGGGTTTAGGGTTTAGGGTTTAGGGTTTAGGGTTTAGGGTTTAGGCTTTGGGGTTTACGGTTTAGAGTTTAGGGTTTAGGGTTTTAGGGTTTAGGGTTTAGGGTTTAGGGTTTAGGGGGTGGGGGGTGGGGGGTGGGGGGGGTGCGGGGGGTGGGGGGGTGGGGGGGTGGAGGGTACGGGCCTTTAGGTTTTGGGGGTCATTGGGGGGTGTTGATGGTTTAGGGATATGTGAGTCTGGGAGTTTAATGTTTTAGAGTTGGGGCGGGGCTCTGCCATCATTTGAAGGCTTCTGCTATGACAGGAATGCTCGCCGGTAACGGGGCTTATAGCACAAGCTGTAACGGAAAGGAGCGGAGCTGTGACGGATTTGTCGCGGAGAAGGCTGCAACGGAGCGCTACCGGCTGTAGCGATGCTGTAGCGGAAGCTGTTACGGAGCCGTAGCAGAATCAGCAACTTGATGACGGACCTGCAGTGGACCTGCAACGGAGCTGTACAACTGAGCTGCAACGGGAGCTGTTTCACCTACAGTGAGGATGAAAGTCCAGGAGCTGCAAAAGTCTGCATTCTGTCAACATTCGCGAATCATCTCGTCACTGTTTAAGCGGTGGCTACCGAGTGTCACGGCTGCACTTCATTCGGATGGCGCGTGATGTTGCTCAAGCCGCCAACGCCGCTCTGTGTCTGAAGCTTGTATAGTGTGCACTTCTGGTGCTCCTGCCCGGCAGGGCTCGGTGTGCTTGTCAAGGGAGGCAATCTTTCCTCTCCGCCGGTACTTTCTCTTTAACCTACAGTTGCAGCCATGGCTTCAGAAAATCGTGTCGAGCTCATTACATCCAGGCGCTTCGCGTGGGAGGCAAGCAAGCAATACCAAGCAAAGTGGTTTTGAAAAGGGCGTGAATGTTAATACGTAGAGACAGTTGGAATAGTCAAATTCATTTGGAAACTATTCTGGAACTACTAAACTTGAAAATTCAAAGTTTGATAGTCATGAAATTCAATTTCATACAAAGAAAGAGAAAAGGCCAAGGAATTAGGTTGGGCGCAAGAATTAGGGTTTAGGGTTTAGGGTTTAGGGTTTAGGGTTTAGGGATTTTCAATTAGGTTCTTTATGGTTTCGGTGAAGGCAGGGTATGTAGGGTTTAGGTTTTGAGGTTTCAGGTAGGTTTTTGGGTTTGAGGTGTATAGGGTGTTAGAATGCGCAGGTTTTAGGGGGGGGTATTTGGGGCGCCCGCAGCTCAAAAGAAGTTGCGCCCGCTGCAAGAACACCAGTGCGCCCTTGTACCCACAGCAAACAAAACAATGCGCCTGGCATGCGCAACAAACATGTCCGCAACGCAAAATGCATACTTACCTTTAGCATGTGGTTGGGGTTTTTACGGTTGTTAGGGTTTAGGGTCTAGGGTTTTCAAGTTTCAGGGTTGCGGGCCTTTTCGTGTGCCTGACTCGCTCGTGCTGTATTCCCGACACGCTCTCTTTATGGCAGATTTGCCTTCGAGAATTCCCCTGCCAGCTTCCGCTTGTTCCCCGACACGGTGCCCCCCTATTTCCGACTCGCCCCCCACAAATTCCCCACACATGTGACAATCATGCAGGCGGTATGTGTGACTCACAACATCTGACGATGGTTGGTCAGGACGAAGACACAGTCTATTTGCTCCTGGAGTACTGCGCGAAAGGGGAGCTCTATCAGCTCCTCCGGACCTCGTGGCCAGTAGTGTGTGCAGTCAAAGGTTTGAGGAGTGGGCTTGCGTAGTTGGGTCGAGCGGTTGTAGATAATCGTTGGAAACATGTTGAACCCTGAAGATGACTGCTCAGATGCTTCCTGCGTGTAGGACGCAAAAAGGCCGCAAGTTCAGTGAGCAGACGTCCAAGCACTTCTTCGTCCAGGCACCAAACGCTTGCCATGAGTTTGCTGTGGCAGACCTGTTGACCGCAAGCTTGTTGCAAAGCATTGTTGCTTGAATCAAGTCACTTGCGATGTAAAGTGGCAGAGATTATGTACGATTTGTTCTTTCGTTTTGCTCTTGCAGTAAGTGTCCTTGCCTTACACTTCCCAATTCACCTGTGTTCTGATTGATCGCCTGACTCCAGTTGGTCCGTGGTCTGAAGTACCTCCACTCGCACCAAATTGTGCACAGAGATCTCAAGCCAGAGGCAGGGTGAGGGTGAGAGAGGCGGTGGGTTACGGGATTTTCAGTTTGGAATTGAGGCTTCAGCTATGTTGGGGCTCTTGAAGACTTATTGGGATTTGGGCGGATACCAGAGGAACTAAGACAAACATGAGAACACACGAGTTCACTGGAGTTTTCCGAGACGAGGAGTATTGCTATTGGCAACATTGAGCTCTACCTTACGCTCCAGATTCTTTACTTCCCATCGTACGTTGTGCGTCTCCTTTTAGTCTTCTGGCATGATGGCTATAATTCTGTACTCAGACGTAGCTTGCACGCCAACACACGCAGGAGTCGGCGTCTTGGGAAAATGCAGTCGTATCACCCTGCGAGTTACCGATATGGGGCCTACATGTCCGGCAAAACCAGCTGAAACTCACTCTGCCATTTGCTCCTCTGCAGAACCTGTTGGTGACTCATGACGATGTGCTGAAGATCGGAGACTTCGGATGGTGCCTTGGTGAGAGTCGACGAATACTTCAATGCTTCGGGTCTGGTCTGTTCAGTCCAAGGCAGAACATTTAGAAAGGTTCATTTAGTTGAGCTGACGTGCCGTCAGAGCGCCAGACATTCGCGCAATCTACTGCTGTTGAGCTGTGGGAGCTGAGTTTTTGGCCGGGGTTGGGGCATGTCTCACTGCAAAAGCAGGTGTGCTGCCACAAATGTCCTACGTACCACATTTTGCGGGACCATGGACTACTTGGCACCCGAGATGATCCAGGCCGGATAGCCACACGAACTGAGTCCAAAGCGAGTTGCTTTAGTTGGGGGAGGGGGTGGGCTGGGTCGTTGCCTAAGCAGCGTGATTACATACGCAGGGAAGCGGCCACAACCACACGCTCGACATCTGGAGCGTGGGCATCTTGCTCTACGAGATGATGGCCGAAAGCTCGGAGTTGCTTTTTGAGAAGGCGCCTGGAGAGTACAGGCACGAGAGAAATCCCTTTTAAAGACTTTTGAGAGTTGAGCTTGGACTAGCCCTTCTCAGGTCGGGCGCCCGCCTTTTCAGAGCACGAACCACACGATGCTGATCGACAGGACTCGGGCAACGGGCCCGAACACTCTTCGTGGCCCCTCATGAGGGTCTGCATAGACTCCGGAAGGCAGCCAACAAGAAAGACTTTTTTCTAATTGTCACAATGGCGGCCTTGAGCCCAGAGCTTTCTCCGAGTGTGCGACGAGGATCCTGAAGATCGCCATCTTCTTCCCGGCTGGGGGCTTGTCTTCGGGCATCTAGCCCAATATCTAGGCTAGTCTAGTCTATGTTAGTGTGTTGAAATCAGACATTGCTCAGCCTGGCTTGCCTCCGCTGGTGGTGGACCTGGTGCGCCGCTTGCTGAAGCGGGTGGCTGCCTCAGATGAAGTTGCTGCTGTGGGAGACAAGCACAATCAGATATATCAGACACTGCTTTCAGAGCTTTCTCTAGAAAGTATTCAACATACCCCTAGGGCATACCCTTAAAAGAAATTAAGGGGTATGGTAAAATCCTCCTTAGACTCCCTTATATTATCCTCTCATATATGTTAAGGGGTACGGAATGTGTCTTAGACTTTACCTTCCTCTTTGACCTTCACGAGGACCCGGCGCAGCGTCTGCCGCTGGAACAGGTGCTGAGGCACAGGGACGCTGAATTCTGACAGCGCCTAGGATGAGAGTGCTTTCGATGAAGTGCAGACAGCAGGGTGTTGAATGCAAAGGGCGATGGACCACGAACATGCATGCGGCACCCTTTCTTCCAGGCATCCCTGGGTCATCGGCTCAAATGGCGAGGCGTCGCCAAGAAGTAGTTGAGGGCCGTTTCGTCGATTGAAGCCAAGCGCGTTCCAGTGAGGCTTCCTAGCGATGAGCCACTTGAGTCACTGAAGCACTATACTACGACCTACCCGAGGCTCCAAAACGGCCCCTTGCGAAGAAAGAGTCAAAAGAAGAGAGAAAGAGGTTCACCTCAAAACTTCCCGGCATGGGTCAAAGGATCTGTCAGGTCAGTACAGCCCTGCAGCGCGAGAGTCAGGAAAGGGGACTTGCCGGGGGCAAACCAGCAGCATGTTGGGGGGGAGGAAACTGACTCGACTTTCGGGGAACAAGAAGAGGGGGAAATACTCAGACCGAGACATGGGACTCGCGCGCCCTGGGCGGCTCCCCAAGCGTGTGGAGAGAGAGAGAGAGAGAGAGATTGGACCCAGCCGGGGGGCTTCAAAGCACGCAGAAGAAATAGAGGCAGGAGAAGAAGAAGAGGCAGGAAGAAGCAGAAGAAGAAGAAGAAGAAGAAGAAGAAGAAGAAGAAGAAGAAGAAGAAGAAGAAGAAGAAGAAGAGGAAGAAGAAGCAGAAGAAGAAGAAGAGGCAGGAAGAAGCAGAAGAAGAAGAAGAAGGATAACAGGAAGAATAGGAATAATAACAATAATAAGAAGAAGAATATTGGACCGCGTCACGGGCGTGTGATTGCACGGGGGGTTGGGGGCTTCCCAGCTCCTTCTCTAGCCTGGGGGGGAGAATAGGAAGAAAGCGACATGAAGAGAGAAGGAACTCGAGCTGTTGAAAACTTGACAAGTGTGCTAGAGAGTCTCATCGGAGCTGCTCTGGGCAGGCTTCCACGCCGCCGTCCCGTGATGCACCACTGTCCAAGTCGCCGGGATGCTCGGTATTCTTCGGTGGGGCAATTTCTTGGGCTTCTGTGGCCAAGGCGAGAAGTGCACCAAAATTGGAATGTTTCAGCTGTTCAAGCTTGATGGGTCGTCAGGGCTCCGTGCTTTGGGGTTTGAATTCACGTGCGTTTCAAGGGTTGTCGAGCTTCTTGACTAGTTCGCGCATCTTCCTTTAGCTGCTTTCAAAGTCCTGACAATCTTCTACACTTGCCACTCCGTGTCACGAGGCAGCAGCTTCCATCACAGCCTGGCACACCGTGCCTTGGCGTTAGAGAAGGAGGGCCTGGCAAAGAAAAGGGCTTTTGGCATGGGGATGGGAGTCTACTTAAAGCTGCCCTTTGCTTGCAATCACTTGGTGTGACAGAGAATGCTGAGCATGGTCCGAGCCACAGCATCAGGCCTTCGAGTGGGGCCGGTACAGTGCCGAGCAAGCACCTGCCGCTGCAGAGGGCTCGGCTCATGTCCTCAGGATCTTAGTAGACACCATCACATCATCGCTTTTAAGAATTCTGGGTGCAGTTCAGCTACCATGCAGCACCTTTCCACGAGCTGCCGCCAAGGCAGAAGAATGGCCGTGTGCCTTCGTGTGAGAAGGCACGCTGTGGCGGCTGCTCAAACTGAAGCTGAGTTGTGTTTGCACATGGCCCAGGAAGGTTGAGGCCACTCATGTCTGCATGCAGACTGACTTGATTCTGCCGGTCCGCGAATGCTTGTGTGACCTCGTCTCTTGTGTCAGGATCCGAAATTCGCCTCCAAACAGCCCAGTCAGAACAAGTCAAACGAGTCAGCTGTTTCCTTCAGATCCGAGTGCTCCAGGTCCGAGCCCTGGCCTCTCCAAGACACCGGGCCTCAGGCGCGAGGGTGAGGGAGTGGGAGTTGAAGATGGAGGGCTGAGCATGGCTGAGCGCTGCCAATGCAAGGAGAGGTGCAGCCGAACGAAAGATCTGCAGCTTCCACTCCAGTGCACTTCGGCTAAGCATCTGGAGCCCGCTGGAGCTCTCGAGATGAGCTGGAGGTTTGCTCGCACGGCCTAGGTCATCTGCTGCTGCACCTGTGCAGGTGGGGGGCTGACGTCTTTGCTAGAGGGTTGTGAGGAGGTGTAGTGTCCCTGAACACTATTGGGGCGGCGCGGTGAACTTGCAAACAAGGCCCCACGGTCCCTTGAAAATCCTTATCGGAGGCATCCTCGCCAGTGCTGTCAACGCCCAAGATGCCTCACCGGTGTGAGCATCCGGTAGGGCACTCAAGCGTTTTTCCCCATCCGCTCTATATGAGTGCGGGCCAGTGCCGGTAATCATTTGTCTCGGCGAAAGGCGGTGCGGAAGCCTGCTCCATGGTGCTGGTCTCAGTTTGCAGTCTTCTCAGGATAGCCGATAGATCGGGAGTTTAAGGGTCACTGGGGGGGGGGCCGGGGTTCCCCCCTGCCCTCCCCATGTGTCCGACGTGCGCAGGCTCCCTCGACCCCATTGGCCGCCTTTAGCCCCCCGTTCGGGCCCCACCTTTAAGACCTTAAGATGCTTAGATGCTCGGTGAAATGGCCACATCCAGAAACCCTCAACCCCAAACCTCACACGCCTCCTCCCGCGACACAAAGGGGCACAGCCTGGTGAGTTCAGAAAAGCTTCCTATGCCATGCGGACCAGGCCGACTCAAGCAAGTGGCTACCAGGCGCTCAGCCTGTGCAACACCGTGTACCTACGTGTACCTGTGCCTGTCGTTGTGCTGACACTAGGCACATCGGCCCCTTGCCAGTCCCATGGGGACTCCCGTGCTCACCCGGCGAGGACATGGTTGTCCTTCTTCTCTTGCCGTGTATCTGAGAAAAACTTTTGGCTCCCTGGAGCAGCAGCCGCTTTGGCCTTGCAGGAGTTGCTCCAGCCGCAGGATACCCAGCAAACCTGGCGGCCACGCTGGCCCGGCACTCTGCGTTCCATAGCAATGTGCGGCATTGCGCAGCATTGCTTGGCATTCAGGCATATTCAGGCTGTTAGGGGGTTTCGGTTGAAGTGTTTGGGCCTGGTGGCTCAGGGTGCCGTGATCTGCAAATATGCCCAGGCGGCCCAGAACCCATCACCCCCTGTTCCAGCAGCCCGCGCTGTGGGAGGCACGGATTGCGGCTTGCTGCTATCATACTTCTTGCTGCCCTTGGTCACCAAGTTCGAACTGTAGAAGTATAGCCTGCTGCTGGATTTCCCCTTCTTTGTGAGGCGAAGCAGTCGTGAGGCCTGCCGCGCTTTTGATCATGTTCGCTCGCATGTTTCAAGCTGACGAGGGAGAGCCATCCAGTTGACTCTTGATCAAGATGCCCAACGGTCGAAGATTTGACGAACTGAGCTGTGACCATGTCGCAGACTCTTCAAGTATCCGCAGAAGCTTCGGCATGGCCCCCGTGCAGCTTGAGAGATGAGTGATCCGAATGCTTCAAACAGGCAGTCTCGACGTCAAAGCCCTGATGCACGCACAAGTGGGACTCTGCCTCATTTGCTCAGCGACTCTCTTAAGCAACATGTGCTTTCACCTGCACCGTAAACCCTAAACCCTAAACCCTAAAACCCTAAACCCTAAACTCGCAACACCTAAACCTCCAGGATGTGTTCGCAATGCTGAGCTGTTAACTCTCAGGTCGCAGACGACCTCCACGTCTGTGCCGCCACCTGACACCAGGACATCCGTCTTGCGTGACATGTCAGCTTCGCAGGATTCGTCATTCGTAATCGGTGTTTCGTTAGAAGCCGGACCTGCGAGTCACCTCGACAGAGTCGGAAAATGTCCTGAGTCGGGAATGCCCTGAACCCAAGTCCCCTAGAGAAAACCGGATAGCCTGTTTCAGGGTTTTGTAGGGAGAGTAGGGGTCTTGCTGCATCTAAGCGCCAGCGCTTGCAAATCATGACTTGGCTTCAGACGGCCAAAGCGAAGAAGGACTTGGCCGGCAATGATGCTTCCGCAAAATCCCTCGTAGTTAAGAAGAAGAAGAATGATCGCAGCGTTGCTGTGATGTGTGCAGGTCAAAACCAGGCCCGGCCTCAAAAAGTTCGGGACAACGATGGCACGGAAAGCGAGAGCACGGCGTGTGAGCAAGGTGTCGTCCAGCTCTGGCACGGACAGCTCTATGACCACTGTCACGCTCGCACCCGAAGGTGAGACCAGCAACGAGAGGCAGCAAGTGGATGACTCTGGAACTGCCAGCGGTAGCAGCGATAATTTCTGTGCCGAATCTCAACCGGAGGTGTCTGATGACGATGATGGATTCGTCACTTCATTCCTGAACACTCTCCAAAGCGTCCTCCAGACTTGTTGCGGTGCCCGTGTCGGAAAGAGAGACGGACGGTCTCGTTGAATCGTTGAAGAAGACTTGCTGCCTGCCTCAAGTCTAAGACTCTACGGCAGTGTGCGTACATGCGGCTTCCATCCGCGTCGCAACAGATCAGTACTAAGCATCACCCCCAGCTTGCACCTTTGAACTCGCAACGCGATGCTGCTGTGGCTGCTGTGAACATGGTGGTCGCCAGGGCTGGGGGCGGGGGGGAACTGGAAGAGGAGTTTATCGAGTGTTGGAAGTTTTTGTAGATTGAGTTTTTTTGGTTTTTTACTCCGTAGACTTTTGGAACTCACAGCGTCCTAAGCGCAGTTTGATGCACCACGCACTGTCCCCCACAAGGTATGGGGGGGGGGCCTCCCATGAAGGGTTTCTCCTCTCTGCCTTGCATGTTTTTGTGCATAGTGGTTGTGAGCTCTCGCCTTCCAGCCCTCATCCCGAAACCCTGAGCCTTAAAGCTTCATGAGACCTTGAAGAAGGCCCGATAAGGCCCGTAGTCCGA